CAGACATCAGATTAATACCTAGCTCTCATTTATTTATTTATTTATTTTTTTAAATGGAGCTGGTTTTGTTTGCTTTTTTTTTTTTTTTTTAACCTAATTCCAAAGCATGGCAGAATACTCTAGGTAGGAATTATGGGAATCCAAGGTAAAGAAACCTTTTTCTTATGATTTGTAGCTACCTACTGTGCCTGACTTGGTGCCTGTGTGAGGATTAAGCCCTTAGTCTGTTCTTGCAATTACTCAAGTAACAAGTTTAAAAATACTTGCTTTTGTAATAATAAAAATCGTCATCTACCCTTTTGAAGAATCTGTCTCTTTATAAATTACTTATGTTGTAACACAAAGTGTATCTGTCCATTTTTGTATCAAGTGTTGGAACCATTTACCAACAGACTTGGATCTTAATAAGCCCTGTCACAAAGAATTTATGAACGTGGTCTGCTTGCATATGGTGTGCAAAACCTTTGTACAGTGCGTATGACTGAATCTTAATGAAACAGCAACCCGATAGAAAGTTGGAGATGCTTAACAATAAAATAGCTATATCACAGTATGTGGTTTTATGTGAACACAGTTGAGGAAACATCAATGATTCTGCCAGACTACAAACTTCTATTGTTCAGGATTTTAAATAATGATGAAGAGGCCTACTAGTACTTGTCCTCCTTTAATACACAAGCGCAAAACATCAATGATAAAGAGGGATTATACATAGTGGTTAATGGATTGGCACGAATACAATTTTGTATATAATCATCTTTCAAAGATTTTTTTTTTTTTAATTTACCTTTTTAGAGAACGAGGGAGAGGGTGGGAGATACAATTGGTTGCCTCTTACATGCCCCCAACTGGGGACCTGACCTGCAACCCAGGCAGGTCCTGCATTCTCAGGTGACCAGGAAACTGAACCAGCAACCTTTTGGTTTACAGGCCAGTGCTCAATCCACAGAGCCACCCCGGCATGGATAGTACATAATCATCTTTTATTATGGAGTTGGAATGAGTTCTTGCTTAACTTTAGAGGAAAGGAATCACTTCACGGTTTTGTTAGTCTCTAGTATGGGTGGTTGGCATTAAATAAATCTTAGCTTAAAACTTAGGAGCAAGCTTGCTATCAAAGCAGGGGTTCAAATAAAAGTTCTAAATAAATGGCGTGACATTTCCCACACTTTTCTATTAAATGACCACATCTCCAACCCTGCCCATCCAACATTGTGTTTGTTGTTAAAAGAACAACTTTCTTAAATGTGTTTGGGCATCACACCATACATAGGTACTGACTAGAGAATTTCACACTTCCTGGCCCATGGAACCAGTTTCAGAGACAAGTTCTCTGAAAAATAGCATCAATACAGAAATAACATCAATGCTGTTGCTCTATAGTGAACTATATACCTCCCGATCTAAATACCTTCTAATCTAAAATAAGTGATGGCCACTAGAAGTATACACTCTAATTACCTTGATTTCTTCCTAAGATGTCATAGTACATATTTTTAAAAAGTAATTTACATACTTGGTTCAAGATACTTATTTTCCTTTAACATTCAGTTGTACCATAACTACCTGTAGTACTCCTTTACAAGTACTGTTTATTTGGATTGGCAATTACTATATGTAATTCATTTAAATGTTAAGTGATTAAGCATGATCAGGTTTGATAGAATCAGATTTTCACTTTACAAAAGATCATTCCAACTGAAGGACAGAGAATGGACAAGAGGCAAAACTGGAGGAAGAAAACCCAGAAGGCTATTAGGGAAAAAAAAATGATGGCCTACACTACAAGGTAGAAGCAATAAAAAGAATTGGATAAATAAAAGATATTTAAAAGGAATAAATAAGAATATATTTGGGGGATGAGAAGAAAAAATGATTCCTATATTCTGGGCAACTAGGCATTTAGTTGCTGGTGCCAGTTATTGAGACAGAAAACAGGAGCTGGTTTGAGGGAAAGATAAAGTTTATGGTGGGACATGCTGGGTGTGAGGCCCTAATAGTATTTCTACATCAACACAGTTGATGGGTTTGAAGATGGAAGGTCTACAAATTTCTATTACCTGTTCATGGATAACAAATTACCCCAAACGCATCAAACAAGGACTCACTGCCCAATGAACATGGAAGCCAATACTACAACATTGGCTTTTGAGAAAATAAAAGGTTTTGTTGTGAAGTCAAACAGTAAGGTTAGACAAGAAACAAGGCTCAAATCTGTCTTGTGATCCAGGGCAAGTTTTAAAGGTTGGCAGAATAGGCTGGTATATAAAAGCGCTGGTGGGGCATGTTTTGATTGAAGAACTTTGGACCCTGGTCATTTATGGTAAGGCAAGGCAAGGGGCTTCAGCACCAGATCTTCCTAGGACAACCAACCAACCCTTTGCTTCTGAAAGGGTCCCAGTCCTTTGGTTCTGGGTACATCTAGAGGTTAAATTGTCTCCTCTGACCATGCTTTGGCTGCATGACTTGTGGTTTTGGTTTGCTGTCTCTGAAAACCAACTAAGTATCTTAGGATAGAGCCAGTTTGAGCTGATTCTGAAGTTACAATCACAATTTTTAGGGGACAGGAATCTGGAAGCAGCACAGCCAGATGGTCCTAGTGCAGGGTGTTTCAAGAGTTTGCAGTCATCTTGCCCTGACCAATGTAGCTCAGTTGGTTAAGTGTCATCCCGCAAAATGAAAGGTTGCTGGTTTGATTCCCAGTTGGGTCATGCCTGGGTTGTAGGTTTGATACCTGGTTGGGGCATGTCCAAGAGGCAACCAATTGATATTTCTCCCTCATGTTGGATGATGTTTCTTTCCTTCTCGTCCTCCCTCCCACTACCCCCAGGACTAAAGAAAAGCTTTTTTAAAAAAGTTTGCAGTCATCTTAAAGTTTGATTGGGGGAGGATCTACATCCAAGCTCACTCAAGTGGTTGCTGGCAGGCTGCCTGAGCAGCCTCAAGATGTGGCAGCCGACTTCACCCAGAGCAAAGAAGAAAAGAAAGGGAAGGAGAGATGGAGGGAAAAGGTACACTCAGGATGAAAATTATAGTCTTTTTATAACCTAATCTCAGAAGTGACACCCTGTAGCTTCTGGTATATATGCTATTAATAGAAGCAAGTCATTAAGTCCAGCACACACTCAGGTGGAGGGGAATGAAGGTCCATTACTTCAATATCAAAGAATTTGTGGACATGTGACAGTTTTAAACCACCATAATACCACACCCAGATTGTTAGCTTTCCTCAAGTATAATTCATCCCTACCTCCTCTTCTTCCCTAGCACCGGTTCAAAAACCTTGTATTTATGATTTCTTCAAGATTAGACCCTCAGCTTGGTAACAAGTTAATTCCTTAACCTACCATTCTAGCCTCATCTTCCATTCCTCCCCTCTGCACATTCCTGATCCAGTCACTTAACTACTTCCAAACACCACCGTGCTCTTGCACCTGAATTCATACCATTCCCTTGGCCTAGAAGTCTGGTTTTCACACTTGAATGCAGGTGACAAACATCTAACAGCCCTAATGCTCTTTCCACATGTTAGAAAACACTGATAAATGAAGCCTAATGTAACAATTCATTATCTTGTGCTAAAACTAATTCCATTTTATACTAGATTCTAAAATAGACAAGCGAGAGTAGGTACCAAAGATTTAAGAAAATTATTCTCCCCTGGCTGGTGTGGCTCAATGGATTGAGTACCAGCCTGGGGACTGAAAGGTCACCAGTTCAATTCCCAGTCAGGGACATGCCCGGGTTGCGGGCCAGGTCTCCGGTTGGGGGCTTGCGAGAGGCAACAAATTGAAGTGTCTAGCACATCGATGTTTCTCTCTCTCCCTTTCTCCCTCCCTTGCCCTCTCTATAAGTAAAATTTTTTTAAAAGAAAGTTTCTTTTATAAGTTGATTAAAGATAAAGTCATTATTAGAGATCTGCAGCTGAACACCCATTCCCCCAGCTTTGACAATAAGGAAGGTTTTTTCCTTTCGTTTCATTTTTAGAAAAATGACATGAAAAGCCTGTTCTCATTCTTTATCGCTCAAAATTTTCCATACCTAGTTCCAAAAAGACTAGAACCATCCTAAAGGTCCATCAAAAAGCTCCTAAGTAAACTACTGTTTACCTAGATGCAGGAAGGTCATTTGGAGTTTAAAAAGATGAAGCAGAGCATTACATGTACTGACTCGGCCAACCTCCAAGATACATTATGAGGAGAAGTCTGCGTACAGGACGATAGGTATACTAAGCTCCTACTTGTGTTTAAAAAAGATAAATAAATTCAAACCCACCTATACAAAAAGAGAAAGAATTACAACTATTTATTAAACATGCCTAGAACACCTCAGGCAGGTTCCAAGAGAAGTTAACAGGGGTCACTTCTGGGGATGTGGGGCAGGAGGGAGACTGTCTACCGTATTCCAGCCTGCACGATTATGTTCGTATGCTCTTACCTCCCACCTCTGTGACACCCGAAGCTCTCACTGGCTCTGGCTCCTCGTTCAGGGACCCACAACTCTTAACGACGTGGCTGGAGTTTCCTGTGCCTGATTCCACGGAATTCTCAGCAGCGGTGGGGAGGTCTCCGCCACCTTCGCGTTCGAGGAGACCGCCGGGGTGGCGTAAAGGGTTCGCCCAAAGTCACCCGGCAGGTGCGTGGTAGGGCCAGAACGCCCCGTTTTCCCAACGCCCCTCGCGGCCTGCCCACAGACGGGTCCACGGAGAGCGGGAGACCCCCGCTGGGTGAGTGGACACGCCCCCTCTACCGCCTACAGGCGCTTGCCAGATGTCCTTTGTGAGAGAAGCCAAAATCGCCAGGCTGCTCCCCAAGCCTCAAAGAAATAAGGACCAAAAGGGAAGTAGACCTGTTACCTCAGAGAAGGGACTCCGGCTGCATACTGAGTAACACTCAGTTTGCTCCTGCCCGCCAAACCCCTACGGCGCGACGCCCGGAAGTGACGGATAGATCCGCACCACGCTCCCTAACTTCCGGCTAGAGACCTGGGCTTGCGCTTGCGCACGGAGAGCCAGCTCTGGGTTCTGCACGCGAGTCTGCACGAGGTGAGGGAGAGATGGAGGACTCTGCCTCAACTCCTGCCTCAACCTCAGCTACAACCTCAACCGCAACGTCAGCTTCGACCTCAGCGACTCCAGCCGCACTGGAACAGCTGGATAAAGGGCAGGTGAGAGGCCCGTAGGGAGGGGGTTACGGGAACGAGGTGGAGTGGCCTTTTGATGCGCATGGTGCCGGAGGCCGACTCCGAGCCTCCTTGGATGCCCCCGAAACTTTGGAAGGGTCACTGGTTCGCTGTGCAAGGATAGGTGCTCGCTTATCCCCGGCCTTTCGGCCTGGCTCTCTTGAATTGGTTTGGAGATATAGCGTAGGGCTCCGGGGAGAGAGGTATCTGGCTCTGCTTCCCTATTGTTTGACTATAAATAAAGTCGCTTAATTTTGCAAGTGTTTCAGTTATCTAGTATTTAAAATGGGCTCTGTTGCCCTTTGCTCTCCATTATGAGAGGAGGTAATGCATGTAGAGGGCTGTAGCCAAAGGCCTGGCACAAAAGGCTTTACTGAGGCACGTAAGCGCTCAGTAAATGGTAGTTGTAGAGTATCGCGTATTTACTGGGTATTACTGCCTTCGTCTCGAACAGAGGAAGCATATTCCATCTGGCACTTCTTACAGACGAGTGTTAAAGGTGGTTTCTGATGGATTCTTACATTCCTGTGATTACAAAGTGCAGAGTCCCAATAGCTGTGGTTGTGGAGGTTGCCTATTAAAATAGAATTCAAGCAGAAAAAAAGGGGAAAGGGTGTGGGAAGAGGACAAATGCTAAATTAGATTGAGATTTAGTTTATGTATGTATTTCCTCTTTGCAGATCAGAAAGGCAGTGGAAGCTCTGTTGGCACGTTCCAGGTCCAGAAAAAACGCGAATGGATTGCTTTTGAACGAGAATGAAAATTTCTTTCTAATGGTGATATTATGGAAAATTCCAAGTAAAGAACTAAGGGTCAGATTGTAAGTTCTGATTTTCTGCCTTTCCTGTTTTTATCTGCTTTGTTAATTCTGTCGCAACTTAGCTTCTAATGGAAACTTTGCAAACTCAAAATAAAAACTCCGAATTGATATAAATATTTGTGCCTTAAAAAAATAGGAATTCAGATGGGCTTAAATTTTCTAGAAATTTCACCAGTTTTCTGGGGCTTGGTGGACAGTTATTTTAAGCAGTTCTGTTGAATCTGAAACCTGATTTTTGAGAGAATAAAGGTTAGAATAAATTGAACAGCTTTTGTGCTTTCATAGATTCGGTTATCTTTCCATGTCAAGCTAGTTCCAAGCTAAACCTCTGACATCCTGGACTTGCATCTTTGTACTGTTAAAAACTTGGCAGCAAACTCCTTATGGAAAATTAGGCCACTGGAATTACACATTCTTCTTTTTTTTTTTTTTTTTTTTTTTTTAATTCTCATCTGAGAACATTATTTCATTGCTTTTAGAGAAAGAGGGAGGTAGAAAAACATCAAAGCTAGAGAGGAACACCAACAGGCTGCCTCCGTGTGGGGATCCAAAGGGCAACCTAGGCAAGTGCCCTGACTGACACTGGGACTGGGAATCAAACCCACAACTTTTTGGCTATAGGACGATGCCCCAACCAACTGAACTACCCGGGCCAGGCAGTAATTACACATTCTTACTGCAGAACCATTAGACCAGAGATGCCCCTTCTGAAATTACCAGGTTTAAATTAAAACACAAGTAATTTTTTAGTATAAATAGGTGCCATGTAATATTTGGGACCTACTTTTTCTTTAAAAATAATTAAAATGTAACTGGGTGTCCTGTATTCTGTTTAACAACAGTCTCTCTGCAGAGTCCCTTATTTCCTAAGTGTCAAAAAACCAGCTCCGCTAAAGAAAGTAGAATTGGCCGGAGGGGGGAGGGTAATTACAAATTGGAAAGACCCTTTTGATCTTCAGAATGTCCATTAAGTGATGTTCACAAACCTGCCTCAGCCAGATTGCTTTAATTATTGCTTTATGTATCTCTCCTGCATTCTTTATTCCACACCTTTGCTCAGGCAGTTTTCCCTTCTGAAAGCCCCCTTAATGTCTATAGAATATTTTCCCAGCTGCTCGCCTCTTAGTGATTCCTGACACTTAACTGTTTCACAGTACTTCCTACCTCGTTTGGCAAGTCGTGCCACTGTGTATTGCTCTCTCTTAAATTAAAGAACTGTTTCCTCAAAACATACAGGCCTAGTAAGTGTGTCAAAACTTTTGTTCTTTTTAAGATTCGACATACACTCTGGCCGGGTACCTGTTGGTTTGAGCATTGTCCTAATATGCCAAGGTTGTGGGTTCGATCCCAGGTCTGGGCACATACAAGTGTCAACCATTTGAGTGCATAAATAAGTGGAACAATAAATCAGTATTTCACTTTCTCTAAAAATCAATAATTTTTTTTTTAATTGGAAAATTAAAAAAACTGAACGTAATAATAATGGTATATTTGTTGGTCCCTCTTGGTTTGCTCCATGTGTTCTGTTTTACCTCTTAAGAGCTGTGTTGTTTATGGAGCAAGCCCAGAGTTTTCTGCAAGGTAGAGTTCTAAACTAGAACTGTCGGGATGAGAATCAATTCTAGCACATTATAGGACATGTACATATATAATAACATAAAATTAAAGTTTTATGAATGCACTATTTTGGATGTCTTTGTATTTGGACTCTTATTATATCCCAAATATTAATTGATATTTTGGCCTATGGGTATTTGGTGACTTCCACCTTAAATCCCTCTTCTTTACCCTTGAAAACCAGATATATTTTTAAGTGTTCTCAGTACAGTATTTGCTTAAATAACATGAATGACGTTTATTGAAATGACAGTAAATTTCATGTGTATTCTGTGGAGTATAAACAGACATTCTATGTACAATAATGCTTTATTCCTTGGTTCCTTCTCATGTATCTTGCAGGTCCTTGCCTCATGGTATTCGATCAGATTTAGCAGATGTCTGTTTATTTACTAAGGATGAACCCAATGAAAAGACAGAACATTTTTATAAGAAGCTTTTAAACAACCATGGAATTAAAACCATTTCTCAGGTAGGGAGCAGGTTAATATTTTCAAGACAATTAAAAAGATTTGATTCAGTTGAAGTGATAAGTAATACATTGCTACATTACCTAGTATGTGTCTCCTAGGAATGTAATTATTAATTTTAATTTTTTATTATTTTTTTCTCCTTGGCTTTAGGTAGGACATATTCCATCTTTCCTATAATGGCTGAGCTGTCTTGGTTTGTTGGCCCAAAGCCCACTGTGAACATCAGTAACTTTCTTGAAGATTTGACACAGTTGCTCCATTATGTCATTTCCTCTATACTTCCAGAGCATGCAGTGTTTGCCTCTGACTTGGCAATTCTCACTCTGTTTTTTAGTTGTTGGTATTGATTCTTTATCTGAGGTGCCATATCAGTGTCTTCCTGTTCCCTGCATTTAGCATAGTGCTTGGCATATTTTAGGTACTCACATGTTCACAAAGCTATGAGTCTAGGAAATTTTCGAATCTGAATACAAATTGTTCCCCAAATATTTCTTCTTCTTCTTCGTTTTCTTGACTTTTTGTTTTCTATGTCTTCTAGATTATCCCCTTCCGCACTTTAAAAAGGGAGTATAAAGCCTATGAGGCCAAGCTCCGCCTCCTGGGGAGTTTCGACCTCTTCCTTACTGATGCAAGAATCAGACGGCTCTTACCCTCACACCTTGGGAGACATTTCTATAAGAGAAAGAAGTAAGTTTCTGAGCAATGCCTGGACTTGAGCAGCACAAAATTTATAGGTGTATATGCATTGTGTTCTAAATGCCTGTGTGTTGTTACAGAGTTCCAGTACCTGTAAACCTTAAAGCCAAGAATCTTTCCAAAGAGATCAACGCATCGATAGGTGGAACTGTCTTAAACATCTCTAAAAGTGGTTCTTGCAGGTAGGTAAAAGGCATTAACATGTACCGGTGTTTAATCTTATATTTAGTAATTTTATAACCATTTTTACAAGATAGTTCTAATGAAACCAGATCTTTCTGTCAAAACTAAAATTCATTCCTTAGACATATTCAGTTCCCTAGAACAGTGCTGTCCCATAGAACTTTCTACAGAGATGGAAATGGTTTGTATCCCTGCTGTCTCCTACAGGAGTCATTAGCCATATATGGTTGGTGAGCACTTGAAATGTGGCCGCTGCAGCTGAGGATCCAAATTTCTACTTTTACTAGATTTTAATTAATTTAAATTAGAATAGGCACAGGTGCCTAGTCTTAATACTTAACATATTGGATAGGGCATCTCTAGATTAAAGATAGCAAGGAGAATAAGATTAATGCTTAGAGCCTCTCAGTGGTTCTGGGTCTTTATGTTGACCAGCATCAATTTTTTTTTAATTTTTTATTTTTAAAGCATGTTTATTCTATTGCAGTTGTCTCAATTTTCCCCCTTTGCCCTCCTCCACCCATCCCACCCAGCCCCCGCTCCCACAGTCAATTCCCACTCTGTTGTCCATGTCCATGGGTCATTCATACACGTTCTTTGTTTAGTCCTTTGTCCTTCTTTTCACCATTGTCCTCCTTCCCCGTCCCCTCTGGTCACTTTCGGTCTGCTCCATGTTTTCTTGCCTATGGTTTATTTTGTTTGTTAGTTTATTTTGTTGAATAGATTCTACTTATAGGTGAGATCATATGGTATTTGTCTTTCACTGACTGGCTTATTTCATTTAACATAATATTATCCAGTTCCATCTGTGTTGTTGCAAAAGGTAGGAGTTCCTTCTTTCTTTTCCTTTTTTTAAGTGTAGATTTTCTTTATTTTTTAAATGTCAAAATACATTATAAAATATTAAAAAAATTAAATCCATTATAATGTCTCAGCAATTAAAACAACATGACACCAGCCCATAAATAATCAAGTAGATCAAGGAAATAAAATGAGCATTCTAGAAACAAACGTATATATCTGTCTAGCAATGTAATATATGATTAAATTGATATTTCAGATCAGTATCATATTTCTTAATATGGAGATCTACCTCAGTTTTGGTTTAAATATATTCAAAATCATTTCATAAAATACTTCGTCTTCTAATTTGGACATCTGTGGTGTGGGGATGGGCAGCTGCCAGCAGGGCAGAGGTGTAGAGTATGGTCCTTCCTCCCAAAGATACCCAGGAGCCTATGTGTACCCAGTGGTCACACATACCATAAAATAGGACTACCAGGGTTTCTTAATTCTGTGCGTCAGGGAGGCCAGCCCTTGGCAGAGTATTTCCAGTAGGGCAGAATGGAATTTGACTGGGTAAGACAGATGGGTTTTGGTGTAGCCTTCTGCCTTCAGATGGGAAGTCCCTCAATTGGGTGTCATTAGTAGTTGAGAAGAATTGTTCGTCAGGCCTGGACCCCTACACTTTTGTTATAGGCTGATATCAAGGTAATGGCTCATGGAAAACAGCTAAAAGGTCAGAGGCCTGGTTTGTGGGATCAGCAAGTAGCTGGGAGAAGGGGACAGCACCATGCAGCCAGATAAAGGAATAGCAATTTCCTGCCCCTGAGGTTTTTCCAAGCCAAACCACAGATTAAGAAACATTATGGGTAGCTAATAAAAATTTAAAAACTTAAACCATTCTTTTATCTCCATTCCCTTTTCCTAACTTAGTAGTTTTCTATCTTCCTTCTCCCCTACCCACCTTCTCTTTCCTTTCTCACCTTCCCCTTCCTTATGTCCACTTCCTTTTCTCTTTCCCTCATTCCCTCCTCTTCTCTCCCTCCCTTTTTGCTTCTTTCCATCTGCAAAGCAAAGGTGTGCTTGCAGGTAGGTGGCAGTGGGCACAGAGGATGGTCAGAACCCCTTCTTTGCCTGGAAGGAGGTGGGACCACCTCCCCCTGTCTCACCCTGCTTCTGAGACACCTGCCTTTTTGCTTGGATGGTGGGGAGGATGGAGATTGACTGGGAGAGGCCACTGGCTAAGAATTTGGCACTTCCAGCTTCCCACTTGGCTTTTATCTGCACTCTGCTTCAACTGAAGCCAAATGGTCTTGCTCTTGGCATGAAGACCGATTCTGGAGGAGGGAGAAGAACTCTTTGTTTCAGAGGTGGCGGCTGGGTCAGGGCAGTGAAACTCTGAAAGACAGCAAAGCAAGCCGCCCTTCTGGGAGTCTTCCTTTTTGAGAACAGTCGCTGCTGGGGGTAATTGTCCTCAGAAAAGTTGTGGGCTGATTCAGTCGATCTGTGTTTTCTTTTTTAGGACTATATATTTCTCACGTACCTGCCTGTGCCTTACTTTGAAGAATTATTTTTAAAAATCTTGTTTGTCTTAAATTTTATTAAATTTCAGCACCATACGCATCGGTCACACTGGAATGCAGGCTCAGCACATCACTGAAAATATTGTTGCTGTCACGAAAATGCTTTCACAGAAATTGCCAGAGGTACAGTCTTACAGATGCATCATCTTATTGTTCACTTAAAAGAAATAAAGCATAGGTAGATTATGTTACTCTTTGTTTGTTTGTTTTAGAAGTGGGAGAGTGTGAAACTCTTGTATGTGAAAACTGAGAGATCAGTTGCCCTGCCCATCTTTTCTTCATTTGTCAGTAGTCGTGATGAAGCCAAAGAAGTGTGCACTCCTAGTCAGAAGAAAAAAGTGAGTAGAATTTTAAATATTGGGTAGACTTAACCAAGGATGTAAATGCTGCCCAGAGAGAGAACGAGGCTGCCATTCCTGCATGACATTTGTCTTTCAGTAGATTTTTAGTGGCTGTGCTTTTGTGTTCATTGTTCCCCCTATATGATGTTAGTTAATATTGGTATGAATAAAGTACAGCAGGATATAGATATCTTAATAATTATGATAAATTAGGTGTTTTAATTTCTCTTAAGTCTAATTAGGATTAGAAAGGGGCTATTCATTGGCAAGAGGAGCTAAGAGAAAGAGGAAAACCAAAATCTGGTTTAACTTCTTTGTTATTTATGGGCAAAATTTAAGATTCTGTTGTTGTAATTTGTAGGTTTTTGGTACTAGGAGGTACTATTGAAAAAGAACTCAGCATGAGATAAAATAGAAATTTTTGCTCTTTGTTGAACCAGTCTCCTAGTTTATTTGTTCTTTCTCCACCCATGTTAATTGTGTCCAGTGAGTTTTTAACTTTGTTCTTTTTCTTTTTTTACTTCTAGAAGTTCGATGTTTTGTTCTTTTTCAAATTGGCTTTACTTTTTTCGGTTTCCTGTTATCCATAAATAGAATTATTAAGCATAATTACTCAGTAGTTGTCTGCTAATTCAAATGGTTCCTTATGTATTTGATTGTCTCTGATTGCCTGATGGTTATGGCATTTGGAAAATTATTCATAGAAATAATTTGAGGTGTAGGGTGAAGATCCTTTCTCTGGAGGATTGACATTTATTCCTGCTGGGCACCTGGGGGCACCTGAAAGCACATCTAAGGCTTAAGTGTCCCTGAATGGCAAGACAAAGCATGGTGCTAAACCTGCAGGACTGAGTTCGCTTCTGTTCATCTTTACCCTAAGGGTGGAACTCATGGGGTGCCAGCTTATCATGAGGGGGGTTTCCTCTTAGACTCCCTGTCCACTATGGATGCTGGGATTTGATTTCCCTTTACATACAACTCCCTTCCCCTAGTTTTCACATGCTGTTAAAACAAAAGTTAGTAATCAGGAGGTACTCTATGGGCAAAAATGGATTCTAGGTTCACTTACTCATTTGGGTCCTCATTTTAATTTCTTACAGTGTAATTAGCTTATCAGTGCTTTTACAAAAAGAAGAAAAAAAATTAAGTATTTTCCTTACCTTTTTACTTGTTTTTATTTGGAGGATGATCCGAAATAATATAGATTGCTAAGATAGGAAGCAGTAAGTCTGGATTTTCTGTCATCTGTCAGCAGATTCAGTTGAGGATTTTACAAAGATGTTGGAATTGGTTGGTTAAAATGGAATTTGGATACTGTAATAGATGTTATTTAACAGTACTCTGTGGTAAGAATTATGGACCTCTAGAATTTTTTACTGTTTTAACTTCAACCACACTTAAAGTAGGAAAGGAATGGTCAAGGTTTTTGGTTTTGGTTGGTTTTTTTTGGTAACAGCTCGAGATATGAGTCACATGAACACATCCTATGTAATCTCGGATAATTCCTAACTCACCTATAACGAGATTGACTTTCACAAAACCTGCAGCTGTGTACCTCAGATACCCAGATTCTGAATATCGATGTATAATATTCCACATAAAATGCACCTGTGGCCATGACTTACCAAGTGGAGATGGGGTTCAAGTGCTGATAATAGGGTTTGTTTTATCAGAGCTTGTACAGGTCAAGGCCCTTTCAGGGAGCTTATGAATAATCAGAACTGCAAGTGTGAAGTCTCTGCCATTTATTTTCCAACTAAAGTACCTCCTACTAAAATTATATTTGGTTTTTTGGTAGGAAGAAAAGAAAATACAAAGGCGAAAAGAATATAATGAAAAACAAAAGGAGAAGAAAAGAAACAAAAGTCTTATGAAACAGGCTGGAAAGGCTACACCAGCCCTAACTGCAGAGGAGGCGGCCCCTAAAACTAGTGGTGATCCAGTGAAGGACCCTGGACCCCAGAAAAAAGGGACGCCCAAGCCTGGGAAGAAAGCGCCATGCAGAGTAAAAGCCCAAAATAAAGTGCAAGACGAGTCTGAAGAAGAAATTCCACTACTCGTTCCAATAGGAGAAACTCCCCCCAAAGACGATGTAGAAGTATGTTTACTAATATTTAATATTTACAATGGATTGATTCAGTGACCACTGTGTGTCAGGCAGGCACTGCTGAATGATGAATGTAAGAAGTGTGAGCCAGGTGGGAGGTACTGTTTGTGGAATTCTATTCTGAGGGAAACCTGTTCTACCAAAGATTTTGAAGTAATAGGGAAAAATACTAGGGCAAACCCTAAGAACCCAGGAGATAGTTACCATCAATAACTTGACCTTTTGTTTAAATATTGGAGCCATGTATAGTAAACACAGCCATTTGTGTACCTTGGAATCAAGGGAAACTTAACCATATTAATAATGCTGAGAAACTTTGCCTGTGGTTTTAAAAAGCAGGCGAGGGTGGACATTTGGGCATTGGTTCCGTTTCTGAAGGTGAGTCCTGTATCACCACATAGTCTTAGAAAACTTACCAGGGAATCCTGTCTCTGAAATCTTTCAAGTACCTCATCCCCAGTGGTTCTTAACAGAAGTCGGACTTCATGAGTTTCAGAGGAGGTCATTTGAGGGAACTTAGTTTTTAAAATTTTGGTCCTTTGATAATGCTTTTGCCCATATTCTTAGTATCCTTGAAACAGTTAGGGGAAAACCTTGAAAACAAGGGGAAAAATAAGTCCCTAATTGTCTAGAAGGCTCCCCTACCTGCCACTTGTGCAGAGAGGACTCATGGGCATAGCCTGCGCTGGGGTTTGCTGGGGCCCATTGCAGCACATTACCTATGTGGTATTTCCTCCTAACAGTGACCCTCAAACTCTTCAATGGCACTATAATTTATATCTTAGTAAAAATATTCCTTTCAAAGGGCCCTCAAAGCACTACTGAATTTTTAAAATATCCTTGAAGTTAATACAAGTGATTGTGTTATTAACTGTTCACAATATAATTGTTTTTAGAAAAAATAAGCTGTTTGCTAATAATGGGACTGCCAGCTAATAGTTTGGAAATGAAAGAATGGAAAGCATAGCTAACGGTCTCGTTTGTCAAGAGCTGTAGAAGTGTTTATGCCCTTTGAATACATCTAGGAAATAAATCAGGGTAATAATATATGGAAGTTTCATCATTGTTCACTATAGAAGCAAAAAATGAAAAAATGTTATGTATCCTTGTAGTAGTTTTTGTAAGGTTAGGTGAAATAATGTTTAGTAAGAGTTTATAGTGCTTAGGAAATACTAATGAAATAATTGGGAAAAAGGCATAATACTTGGCTTTTAAATACCTACTCATGGGGGGAAAGTAAGAACTGTTAATACTGTATGGTAAAGTTACTAGCAAGTTTTGTTTTTAGTATTTTTGATGTTTTGCAGATTTTCCATAGTTTATCAGAAACAAAGTTTTGTTTTGTTGGTGGTTGGGTTTTTTGGCCTGCATAACCTAGTTCTATATTGGACAGAGTCCAGTGCTAGAATGTTGTCCTTGAATCATCAGTAATAGTCATCTGGGGTATTTGGAAATTTCAGGATTCCTGGCCTGTAACGCACTCCTCAGAGGACCTCAAATTAAGCTTCAGGAAATGGGTTTTTGTAATAGGCACCTCAGTTGATTTTTATACACAGTTTGGGAACCCCATGCCTCAACCCATATGCAAGAAATGTACAGGTGACGGTGAAGAGGCAGGATTAGATCACAGGTCTCCCTAGTGTGCTCCCAGTGGATGCTTCCAGCAGGCCCTACACTCAATCATTGGGGAATATGGTTTTCCTTGATTGGACCAGGAAGACACCAGGGTCCTCTTTATAATCATGAATAATGAAGTACAGCTACCTTTCAGATTGTCTGCATGACAAAAAGAAAAACCATTGCTCACTTCATCGAGTCAAGGTGTATCTTTGGGGAGTTACCTAAATAGTCAAAACAGTAACTCTTGAAGTTGCATTGTCCATTGGTTGTTTGTTTGTTTGTTTGTTTTTGCCAGACCTAAAACTAACTTTATTCCCTTACTTAGATACAAAAACATGCCACAGGAAAGAAGTCTCCAAAAAAGAGTCCTGGTCCCAACACACCTCGTGGGAAGAAGAGAAGAAAGTCCATTCCAGCTTTGGAGACCCCAAAAGCAGCAGAGCCCAAGAGTCCAGGTAGAAGCCCAGGGAAGAAGCCAAGAATCAAAGAAGAGGTGGAGAAAGAGAGAAACTCTCAATTGGGGAAAAAAGACCCAAGACAGACGCCCAAAAAGCCAGAGGCCAAGTTCTTCACTACAGCTAATAAATCTGCAAGGAAAGCTCCCCGCACCCCCAAACAATGGCCCAAAAAATCCAAAGTGCTCCAGTCGACCTAAATGACTGAACCAGGAGGAAACGTCAGAGCTGCCTGGAAAGCTTTTGAAAAATACCCAGATCCTATTACAATTTTCCCCAATAGCGAGGGCTCAACCTAAACGTGTTTAAATCCCCATGAGTGATCCTGTTGTACGTTTGTAGGTGTAAGAACAGTATTTTGAATCCATGTTTTAAATTGCTCTTCCGTGTATTTGCCAATATAGTAGAAAATACAGTGCTTTTATTAAAGTGTAACGTTTGCTTCTGAGTAAACTTTCATATCTTGTTAGTTTTACTTAAATGCCTATTATGTGACCTTTGTCCTTACCTGGCTCCAGAGCAGCAGTTTGTGCAAACATTTCCATAGCTTGTCTTCAAGCCAGTGATGGGCTCACTGCATGCAAATCAACTGTGGAATTTAACAAAAATTGTAATTCCTTGGCCCGTCACAATGAGCTGGTTTATTCATGGTGGGTTTTAGAAAGGTGGTGGTCAGCCTAGGTTGTAAACCACTGAGCATACATTTGGGGAAAATTAACATAGTGTCGTTTGTAGAGACACCAAATTGAATCCTGCCTGCTACAGACAAGAAAAAACTTAAGCCTTCCACTCTTCCAGGTTACTCCTCACTCTGTATAGATTTACTTAGATTTGGCACCTCTATGATAGGAAACCTGGAAGCGTAGGCTGTTACATTTGGGTGATGGTTGAATATAAGCTGAGGCAGTAAATGACTTCTCAGGTACACAGCCTTTCAGCAGATGTGAGTTGGGGTGCACATCTCTAGTAGAAAGTGGTGGATTCACTGTAGTACAGGAAGACCAGTGTAAGACATGCTTCCAGAGATCACATGGTTCAGAAACAATGACAAGGAAAAAAGCTTTAGATGGTTCTTGGCAATTTGAGTTAAGATAGTTGTTGCTTTTTAGCAGCACAAACTAAACTGTAAAGTTAACTTTTTAAATCGAGAGCATCTAATATACAAAATAATGTGTAATTCCTCTTAACGGGCTTTGAAAAATGAATATATATTTAATGTGTTGTGGGGGTGTAGCTTAATTCTTAAACCTTCTCATGGAAACTACATTCTGTGGGAAGGATTACAAATGAAAAAGTCCAAAATGGTGCTGATTTCCAAGGCTTAAGTTTAGGGAACACCTTACCCAGTGGCAGGGCTGCGTTCTACCTTGGGGATAAGAGGAGTACTGGAAGTCTACATAGTACATTATCTCTTTTGTGGGTTAAGATAAGAGATTGGGTATGTGGCTGATGTTTCATTGCAAGTCAGTGCTGGGTTTCTAGATCCATCCTCCATACTGCTGAGATTTAGTGGACAAACCCAGAGCTGGTGGAAGAAATTTGCAGCAGTTTTGTTTTGAAGAAATGTTTGAAATCTAGTTAATTTGTTTTCTAGGAACTGTAATGAGCATCAAAAGTTTTGTGTCTTTAAATGCCTTGAATGTATTTAAGACAGGCTGAGTTCTGGGTTGGCCAAAAAGTCTGTTACTTTTTTTTTTCCCCATACGATGGCTCTAGTAGTACTTAATTGTCTTTAACTTCATTCCAAACAATTTTGTTAGATTGTATTGTGACAACTGTCATATCAGCGTACATTTAAAAAGAAAAGAAACATCAAAATTGGTGAATTTTTGTGCACCCATTTTAATATGGAAGATGGGAGAAAATATGCAACATGTTCAGTGTATTAGGCTTTATTATTTCAAGAAAGATAAAAATGCAACTGAAATGCAAAAAAAGATTTCTGCAGTGTATGAAGAAGGTGCTGTGACTGACTGACTGTCAAAAGTAGTTTGTGAAGTTTCTTGGTACTATTGACATTGTGGCCAAATAGTTCTGTACTGTGGAGCTATCTGAGGCATTGGAAGATATTTAGCAGCACCTCTGCTCTTTACCTACTCAAAGCCATTAGTGGGAGATAGCTGACATGCTCAGAATATCCAAATCAATAGTTATTGTTGAAAATGAAAAATGTCTTTTATTTTACAGAAAAAAACCATACAGACTTTTTGGCCAACCCAATATTTAATAAAGGTCACATTGTACTTTATAGTCTTGAGACATACTGAAGTGAGGATACAAAGAAATTGCTAAGTCATACTGTCTCATTGCTAGACCAAACACCCTTTATCTTTTTTTCAGTTCATGGGCACGTTTAAGGGTTTAAAAGAGCGAAGACATTTTTTGTCATTTAATTGAATATTGAAGGTTCTGAACTACTTATATTTTTCCCCCTTAAGTTGTACTGTTTTCCCTCATGATAATTAGTGTATTAATAGTCATAACACCAAGATTCCCAATTAGGACTTAATGAGCCATACATTCTTGTTAATCCTTGGATCACAACAGAATTAATGCATTAAAGACAATAAAATTTTGGCTTTTGTGATTTTAGTATAAGGATCCAAAACAGAGAAAATGGCAAATTATTTAGGTGGTTATATTTAACCCCCAGATTCTCTTGTCTTAGTCCTCATCTTAAAAGGATTATTATCCATTTGTAAAACTCATTTAATATACAGGAAGTTGCAGGAAGTAATTGGAGCATAGGTATAATTTTAAATCACCTAGAAAGATGTGTCTCAATTTTCCAAGACATTATTAACCAATAATGTCAATTAGACACCAGCTTTTTTTTTTTTTAAATCCTCACCTGAGGATTTATCAATTGATTTTAGAGAGAGAGGAAGGGAGAGAAAACATCCATATGAGAGAAAAACATCGAATTGCCTCTTGTATGCTCCCAACTTGAGATTGAACCCAAAACCTCCATATGTGCCCTGACTGGGGATCAACCGGCAACTTTCTGGTGTGGGGATGATGCTCCAAACAACAGCCACCTGGTCAGGACAAGACACTCAATTTTTCTTTATAGATTTTCCTCGGAATCTATTCCTCCACTGTACTCACAATGACACCATCCAGAAACTTCTTTGATCTCAACCACTGAGCCACGAAGTTACATTGGTTTTCATTTTATTCATTCAACCACCCACATATCTACATGTCCTTTAACTATTAAGTTCCCACAAACTGCCAAGTACACTAGTAGACTTGGGAAACAAATGCATACAACGGCTTTGAACTTCAAGAGAGTCCTAGTCTACTTTGGTAGCATTCTCAGAATAGTTTCTGCATCTCATAGTACCACCCTTCAGTAATCCGCTTTAGGTTCACTAAGCAATTTTAGGTTCATAGCAAAATTAAGGTACAGAGATTTCCCATATCTCCCTGTCCCCCACACATCGCACAGCTTCCCCCATATCAACATCCTCCACCAGAATGGTACAGTTTTGTCTGTTTGTTTAAATATTTTATTTTTAGGGAGGGGGGAAAAGGGAGAGAAACACCAATCAGTTGTCCTCAGCCAGGGACCTGGCGTACTACCCAGACATATGCCTTGACCAGGAATTGAACTGGTGACCCTTCAGTTTGCACGATGATGCCTAACCCACTGAGCTACACGTTAGGGCAAGGGTGGTACATTTCCTACCATTGATGAGCCTACCTTGACATCACTATTACCCAAAGTTCATAGTTGGCATTAGGGCACATGCTTAGTGTTACACAATCTATGGACATGGACAAATGTATAGTAACATTTATCCACAATTATAGTATATAGAGTACTTTCACTGCCCTAAAAGTCACCTGTGCTGCACCTATTCATCCCTCTCACCCTCTCCCCAGAGCCCCTGGCAACCACTGATCTTTTTATTATCTCAATAGTTTTGTCTTTCAGAATGTCATGTAGTTGGAATCATGCAGTACGCAGCCTGACTGGTTTTTCTCCCCCCACTTAGTCACATGCATTCAAGATTCCTTAATGTCTTCTCAAGGTTTGATAGCACATTTCTTTTTTGTGCTGAAAAATATTCCATTGTCTGGAATATTGTCTGCCATTTTTGGCATTTATTAATAAAGTTGTTATAAACACCTGTGTACAGGTTTAAATGTGGCCATAAGTTATCAGATGCTTTGGATAAACTCCAAGGAGTGTGGTTGCTAGAGCATGTAAGAGTATGTTTGGTTTTGTAGGAAACTGCTAACCTGTCTTCCAAAGTGGCCTTCCCATTTTGCATTCCCACCAGCAGTGAGTGAGAGTTACTGTTGCTCCACATTCTCATCAGGATTTGCTGCTTGCCATTCTGATAGGTGTGTGGTGGCCCCTCATTTTAATTTGCATTTCCTTGATGATATTGATATGGAATATGCTTATTTGCCATCTGTATATCTTCTATGCATAAGTATTTCTTTTTTCTTCTAGTCTATTGTATATTTTCCCAGTTTTCTTTAATGAAATTATTTTGTAATGGACAAATGCCAGCCCTTCTTCACTTTACACCTTTAAATGTTTATCATTAAGAACACAGAAAAAAATGTTAAGTCCTTGAGAATGGGAGGATGGCCCTTCTGAAAAATGTATATTCCTGGTCTCACCACAGACCTGCTTAATTGGTGAGACATAGGAATCTGGTTTTAATAAGAAGCCAGTGATTCCTATGCTCAAGGAGGATTGGGAAAAATTGGTATAAGGCATGGAGTAGCTAAAAGTGCCTCCACTTGGTAACATCTTTACCAAGTCATCCACAGGTGAAACCAAATGGAACAGCCAACTAAAAGACAAGTAGTGTAAACCAGATTTTATTTCCTCTTTTTATTACTCATTTTTTAATAGGACATCCCAGTGAGCTATATGCTTCTGGTCCCAGTCTCTCCACATTAAGAATTTTTTCCCAATCTGTACAATCAAGGTATTTACATTATTGGGTTAATTCAATTTTTTAAAAAACCTAATGTGATAGGTGAAAACTGCCAATGTGAATTCATGTTATTTCAATCATTCAATCAAGATCCTTTCTCCTATAAAAGAAATACAAAGAGGTAACTGACAGTTCATCTTGAAGGGTATTTGGCTGGTTTTAAGTAGATTCATTTAATCAGTTTAAGAAGACTACATTTTTATAAATATAAGTTGTGGTATGATTGGAAGTTGTTTAAGTTTTTCTTTCTTTTTACTAATGAAGTCAAATATATCTAAAAAAGACTCACTGGCCATTGCTTTAATTTTTCATAGAAGCAAAAGCAATCTTGTTCATACACAAAAATATAGGACTAGAAGGAGTCTGATGAGAGCTGTGTCACTTGAATTTCAAGGTTGCATGCAAAAATTACATAATGATCTTTTACTGAGTTAATTCTTACTGAGCTGGCAATTGCATTTGTTTCTCCATTTTATTTATTT